CCAGTGGAGAGTATCTGCAATATTTTCAAATATTGATACGGAGAAATTTTGGAAGGAGGAAAAGAATTTTAACAGAAATGGTGAATTTGTTTTGTGCATGTGTGTTTTGTTTTTTGTTTTTGATTTTGTTTTTGTTTTTACATGAAGATGCCAGAAGCAATGGAAAAAAATCTGGCAAAGTATATGGTATCTGGTATGGCACATTTATTATTTGATTTCCCTAAGAAATTCATTAATATTTAAACCACATAATAATGTTAAGTTCTTCATTGCATTTTTCTCTTTCCCACTGTGTCCTTGCTCATCTTGAATCCTTGGTGTTTCTTCTGTTCTGATGATCAGTTATTTTTACTATTGAGTTGTATTTCAAAATTTGCTGTCATTTGTCAGCAGCAGGAATGTAGTTTGGGAGATAAAGTAAGCCCACTTTGGTATTTTGGCATGTTTGTGTATGTGTAACTTTTTGGTGGTTCTAAGGTTTAAACTCAGGCTAGATAGGTACTCTACTGCCAAACTATACCCCTCTAACTTTTTGCTTTGTTCCTTTCCCTGTAAGGTTTCTTATATTTACCAAGATTGGCCTGGAGCATCTTCCTTTCATGCATACCTCTCATGCATATGACAGAACTACCCAGCTTGTTTATTGAGACAGGCTTTTGCTAAACGTTTGCCTGCCTGGCCTCAAAGCTCTGTCTCTTGATCAGACTCCTCATCTCTGTTTCATGCATGTGCTATCCCATGCATGCAGCTTCAAAGTGTGTTTTAGATGGGAGGATGGTCTTAGAAGATCATCCTTCCTCCTTTGTTTCCACCTCCCTTCTTGTCTCAATCTCAGGTAGACTCACTGCCCAGAAACAGCCCTGCCCTGCCCTCTGATAGTCTATACCCAGCGGTGTAACCTCCAGCTGCCCACACCAGACTCTCCCTGCTCATATTTTCTCATAATTTGTGGGGAACTGTCTTTACTATAATTGGATTAAGTATGTCAGTGTCTCCTATATGTGAGGAGGGTTTTTTTTTTTTTGGTATGAGGATTTTAAAAATATTTTTGGGTGGGAGCTTTTTTATGCATTCTTGATTGAATGAAAATCAATTGCTAATTATGTATTAATCTAAGAACTTGCCATGTAGAGTCAATGCAGCTGAATTAACTGTCCTTAACAATGCCTCCGTTTTTATGAACATATTCTTTTCCTTGACCTGAAAAGCCTTGTAAGTTAAATTTTCGAATTTATTTTGAGACAGGGTCTCAATATTTAACTCGGGCTAGCTTTGATCCCACAATCCTGCTTCAGTCTTACATCTAGAGGAGTGATAATTCACTTTAATCAACAGATCTAACCCCCAATAAAAACAAATCTATGTTTTACAGTGTTGGACATAACTTGTATATAAGATAAATTTGAGTGTCTTGTGGTCTGTGTAGTATTTTTAAAGGAAGTGCTCTCAAAAACTTGCTCTCCTTTATGTTAATCATAACTTGAATAAAGGAAGGATCTCTAATAAATAATTTGTTTTGGAACTCGATGTTGGATTTTTAAGGTTAATCTTTTTGATTGATACAGATCTAAATAGCATTGAGGAATATTTATTTCCCCTTTATGGAAGTGACAAAACATGCTAAGGAATGTTAACTAGTCATGACACAGGCCTTCCTAGGTTTGAATTGTACCATTGAAATGACAGCTCATGTAACTGTAGGCCACAGTGCATATCCCATTAAGCATGTGTTTATGCTAGTCAGTCACTACCTACAAAAAGAAATCCTTTAGGAATTTTTAGCAAAATGAGGACATAAATTTCAGATCGTTTTATGAACTTGCTGAGAACCGTAACCCTCTGGGAAAGCAGGCATTTGAAGGAATCTGAGGCTCAGCCTGTCAGACTCCCTGAATTTTTTAATCTGAGATAATGCTAATGAGCTGCCTTGACTAAGGAAAAAAGCTTAGGCTGGATTCCAGGTACCATTGAGTTGCTCGTATCTTACCTACTCTTGATTTCCTTATCTTAAAAATAAGGGGAATGGTAGTATCTAATCCCATTGGCTATCAGGAAAGACATTTTTTCCAGAATAGGGTTGTGGTTTTTTTGTTGGTGTTCTTTTGTTTTGTTTTCTTGTCTGTATGTGTGTGTATAAGCTCTAGTACTGGTGCTTGAACTCTAGACCTTGTTTCTATTGATGTTGACCACAAGGGCTTCTTTATTGTCAGCAGTATGGTCAGCAGCTAGGCCAAAAGGTAGTTGTGATCCAAGGAGATCTAGTTTGTGGTTCCTCTGCATGGAAGTATTTCTAATACACGTACAAAAGTATGATCATAAATATGCCTGTCAGCACAAACAGGATTAAAATGTTTTAGTTTGACAACCATTAACTGCTTTACAAGTGTAAAGTCATATTGCCCTTTCCTTGTAAAAGTTCATTAAATATTTGCAACCTGAAAGAACTATAAATGTGCCCTGAATAATATAACTAGTGATTTCCATTTATTTTGCTAACCTAATAAAAGTTTAATAAACTGTGAAACCATTCTTATCTTCATAAATTAAAAACAATTTGGATTTTATAATATATACTTATTCCAAAGGCATAGAGGTATATTATTCATTCCTTCATAGTATCAATGGTTAATGCAAATCTTTTTGTGTCCTTTCATGAATATTATATAACTTACATAAATATATACGTGCATCCAATTTAAGTATCTACAAGACAATCAGAAAGTAAACGCTTTTGTCTAAAAAACAAAACAAAACAAAAACCCAGGAGCCTGTATCTCATGCCTGTTATTCCTTACCATTCAGAAGGCTGCAATCTGAGGATCACTGTTTAAAGCCAGCCTGGATAGAAAACTCTTTGAGACTCTTATCTCCAATTCACCACTAAAAAAATCCAGAAGTAAAGCTGGGGCTCAAGTCAGAGAGCACTAGTCTTGAGCAAAAAAGCTCAGGGACAGCACCCAGGCCCCAAGTTCAAGCCCTAGGAGACACACACACACACATACACACACACACACGCACACACACACACACACACACACACACACACACACACACACACAGGCCCCAAGTTCAAGCCCTAGGAGAGACACACACACACACACACACACACACACACACACACACACACACACACACACACACACACACACACACACACACACACCAAAAACAGCTCAAGTCATAGAGCACTAGTCTTGAGCAAAAAAGCTCAGGGACAGCACCCAGGCCCCAAGTTCAAGCCCTAGGAGTCACACACACACACACACACACACACACACACACACACGTGCACACACACACACACACACACACACACACACACACACACCAAAAACAACAACAACAGAAAAAAAAAACCTGGCAGAACTCTTGACTAATATATGCCTGAGGTCTATCCTTGGCACCACAAAACAAACAAACACTGGTAATAATAAATCAGTTTGGGGGTGGGCCATCTGGAATGATAGGTCTGGGTAGAATGCCAAGCCAATAAACAAAGTTTATTGGATTGTTTTTAGTACTAATTTTCCCTTTCCAAGGAATGATCCTGGAACTCCTTTGCTCCTTTATCTTCATATCACACTTCGACAGCAAAATACTTAACTTCTGAAGAATCCCAGCTCTTGTGAGTTCTATAGGTTTGCTGTTCCCCATAACTATCACTAAACTACAAGTGGATTATTTTTCTCTGGAAAGACCAATCCCATTTCTCTCCTTGTGTTCCCTTTAAATCTCTCTCCTCTACTTCCAGCTTTGACCCAAGAAAATGTTAAAATTGGCATTTGTCTTCAGACTTGCTTAAGAATCACCCTAGCATGATTTAATCACTGTGGATTTGAATCAGCAGGGAAGGAAAGTGTCCTGGAGATTTCCTTTGCTTACTGTGAACATAGCAATGTGTTGAAAACTGGGCTCTTTCGAGGAACTCGTTTTTGTTTGGGAAATTATTTTTTGCTGGTCTTGTTCTTGTTTTTTGGAATCGAGTGTATTTCAGAATGTCTTTCATTCTGCTGGAGGTATAAACCTTTGAAGTGATTTTCATTGCTAGCAACAAGCAAGCAATATAGCTTGGGACCCAAAATGCAAAAACAACTAACCCAGACAGGTTTTCAAACTCATATGTCAGAAGCCTACCTGCTGCTCACCAGCATGTAAATGGAACTGGACTCCACCTTTTGTCCTTTGGAATACCATCTTTGCCTTTTTTGTATTGGGAAATTTTTTTCTGTTTTGTTTTGAGACAGGGTCCTACTGTGCAGCTCAGGCTGGCCTTGAACTCTATATATCTTCCTGCCTTCACCTCCCAAGTGTTGGGGTATACCACACCTAGCTCAGGTTTTGTTCATAACCCATTCTCTTTCCCTCAGGAAAGATTCCTCTGTTGGCAAATTCATGCCCCACTCTAGTATTTATTTTTAAACTTGATTCTGCCAGCCTGGACCTGGATCTCCTATTTATACTTGCTCCATAGCTAGGATGGCACAAGTACCACATGCCCAGCTTTTATTGGTTGAGATGGGGTTCTCACAATTTTTTTGCCCTGGCTGGCCTCAAACCTTGATCTTCCCAAGCAGCCAGAATTAAAGGTGTGAACCCTTGCACCTGACTCAATTTTCTTTATAGACAGATATTGTCTGGAGATGTAATCATCTAAGATGCCAGGTTGAAGGTCTGGAGGGGAAGTGTAAAGGTAAGAAGCAGGAGGAACTGGGACAAGTGGCCCTGAGGACTGGCCTCCTCCGATGTTCTACCCTTGCCACTGCCATCCAGAGGCCATCAAACAGAAGGGGCGAGGAGAGAGCTAGGAAACCATGGTAAAGTCTGATGAGGGAGTGAGGAAAACAGAGAGGGCTTACAATAGATATTGGGAAGGAGTGAAGAGAATCAGCAGGCAAGGAAGTTTCTGTGTCCACCAGGTTTTTTTTGGCAAGCACACATTCAAGTCAAGTCCTTCCTACCAAATGGTAATAACTGGTGCTATTTATTTTCTATCTTCCTAGATCAATGAACTGAGCCATGTTCAAATCCCTGTCATGTTGATGCCAGATGACTTCAAAGCCTATTCAAAGATAAAGGTGGACAATCACCTTTTTAACAAGTAAGTACAAGTCCAACTTTTCAGAGGACTGTGGTGGCTGTTGAAAGTACTGTTGTGAATTTCTGTAATCACATAATTTTTCAATGGGTGGGAGTAAAGTTTTGCTGATGAAGTTAATCCTGTGATAAACATAACCATCTGTCATATTCAGAGAAGTAACAGCAGGCCCTCTGGGATAATATCCTTTTGCCATATGGCATATTGTTCTCTATGAATATCTTATACATTAGCAGAGGCGTTCTCAGAACAATTCAAACTCTTGAAACTGTACATTGCATGAATTTTTGAGCAGTTATATACCTCTGCTCTCTTATACCGAGCTTTGAAATGACTTTAGGAACCGAAATGACTATGTTGTAGAACAATAAAGAATTAAGGTACATTTTTCTAAAACATAATTGGATGCCACATTGGACATGAAGACTATTCCTTGAATGTCATTTTAGATGTCATGATGAGGCACCTGTTAGATATGAGATTAGTCCATTGAGAGAGCTGGAACTCACAGTCAGGCTGTGTTAGAAACTAACACACAGGCACACAAATTACTGTAATTCAGGTATGAATCATGATGACAGAGGGGTCTAGAATGTGCATAATTTATATATGTGGTTCTGTGGGAACACAAAGGAGGGGCCAGTTCTGTGTGAGTGGGATGATGAGCCTCTAAGATGTCCTTGCCATGTAAAGATCAAGGATGAAGCTTGTTCTCTTTCTCTCTGTTTCTGCCCCTTTGTGTCTAGGCATGTGTCTCTATGTCCCTGTCTCGGTCTCTCTCCCTCTCTCTCCGCCTCTGTCTCTCTTACTGTGCCTCCCAGCTCTCTCACGGTCTCTCTCTGCCAGAGAGTGACCACATGGCCTCATCGTACATGCCAAACAAGGGCTCTACCTCTGAACTACACCCCCACTGTGTAGAGGCTGACTCTTCACAGGCCTTTTCTCAGTGCGAATTTAGAATGCGGCATTTGTATAAAACCAGTCACTGGGGACATGAGGGTACCACCCTGTTTTCTCAGCTCCGCTGCACAATGACAGAAGAACACAGGCCCACTGCTGGGCTTGCTCTGCTGTCCTTTCCCTCATCATCAGCCCTTCTCCAGCTTCTTCACTTTTCCTTCCTGTTTTCCTGCATCTGACCCCTTCCCCTCCCATCTCCTCACTGGGGAAATGACTACATGTGTGGCCAGTATTAAAGGGCTGCCCAGTTCTAGTGTGCCTGTAACAAGGGAGACTATATTATATTATTGATCTGTCCCCTTCTGCCTTCTGGATGTTACTGGGTTGTCATTGAAGCCTGCATTGACCAATGAATACCAGGCCCTTCCTGCTCCAGCTAGGGCTCAATGGGGGCAGAGCAGAGTCTGCTGAGCTCTTGCTCTGCCTGAGCTTTATTCCAATGTGACTGTTGCAGAGAAAACATGCCCAGCCACTTCAAGTTTAAGGAATATTGCCCGATGGTTTTCCGGAATCTTCGGGAACGATTTGGAATTGATGATCAAGATTTCCAGGTGAGTTACTTTTGTATCTTGCCTCAAAGAGGAAATTGGTTTCATTGTACTTTTGTTCTCTTTAAAATATGTTTTTGGGTCATCATTGCAAGTCCATTTCACGTAGGAAGTTTTCCAAGGTTTTGTGAAATCAAGAGTTCCCTTAAGGCCAGGCACCAGTGACTCACACCTGTAATCCTAGTTACTCGGAAGGTTGAGATCTGAGATCAAGGTTGAAAGCCAGCCAGGACAGACAAATCCCATGAAAGTCTTATCTCCAATTAATCACCAAAAAGCTGGAAGAGGAGCTGTGGCTCCAGTGTGGAGACTGAAGTAGGACTTTGGTGTACTAGTCGGTAGTGAAGAAACTGGGCCCCTCTGGAAGGAGACAAGCTTTGAAGGTTTCTTGAATGCTCTCATTTCTGGTGGTACGCGTGTCACTGGTATGTATATGTGTGTGTTTGGAGTCACCTTTCTACTGTTGCAAAGGCTCTTTTGGAATCTCAGAAAACATTATCTTGCTGATTTACTGCTTTTCAAGTTGGCAAGCTGGTTGCTTGCCCCAGCATTTTTGTCAAAGGCCACATTTTGTGTACCACAATGCTAGATTGTAGAGTGACCATGGCCTTGTTGTCACCAAGAGCTCACCAGTACTAGGCACAATCCTGGGGACACTGTCCTCTATAAACAGAGCACTCTTTTCCTCATACTTGCCTAGTGTCCATTTTTACCATAAAATACATTTTAACTTTTAAAATATCTGCCAATCCACGAGCATTTTCCTAAGAAAGAGTCTGACCATGGTAATCTGAGTTTCTATATTTTTTAAAAGCAGAAATCATGGTAGTGATTGACTTATTTTAAACTTTTTCAAATCCAGCAAATACTTTGTCTCATTGGCCCTAAATCTACAATCCTAATTCATCTTGCCTTCAGTACCATAGTGCCACCCTGGTTAACTTTACAAATTGGCACAGCTTATGTTTTCTTATTAAAAATAATAATAATCAGCCTCCCCCCCCCCAAGGCAAAACACACTTGGTTAGTACGCTTTCCTAAAGGTCAGTATTTGTACTCACTCCCATGTTAGAAGTTTCCAAGAATTTCTCACATGAGCTATTGCTAGGCCTTGGTATCCAGGCAATGTCATCCTAGCTGTGGACCAGGGTCGTGGGTTCTGAACCGAGCGTCCTGAGCACTCAGGGAAGGCTGATCGCTAGTGAGTGATCCAGGTAGGATATGGGCACTCCATTCTTCATCTGCCAACATTCACTGCGGGACTTAGTTAAGAAAGAACTTAGATCATAATGATGGGCTTGACATTCACTACTGGAAAAGTAACTTTTAAAGAATAATTGGAATAGTAAAAAGGATTTGTATGAAGTTAAAGGGATAAGACCTTTAAGACCTGCACTCGATTTGAGCAAGGGGTATGAAAAACAAGCGGGTACTTGAAAAGAAAATGCTAGCAGATTACTTTCACATCTTAAGGAAATCTTCTCCTGCCTAGTTCTGGGACAAAGCACAAGTATGATCCTCCTCCGTAGTCATCGGTTTTGTTTTGTTTTGTTTGTGTTTTTTTTTATTTTAATAAAATAACTATTGGCATTTCATAGAGCTGGTGTGTGTGTGTGTGTGTGTGTGTGTGTGTGTGTGTGTGTTTGGGTGCACATGTGCACACACATACACTGGTACTGGGGCTTAAACTCAGGACCTTGAGCTCTCATTTGGCTTGTTTGCTTAAATTTGGCTTGCTGGCTCCCTACCACTTGAGCCACACCTGCACTTCTGGCTTCTTACTGGCTACATGGAAATAAGAGTCTCAGGAGCTTTTCTTCCAGTGTTGGTTTCAAACAGAGATCTTTAGATTTCAGCCTCCTGAGTAGCAAGGATTACAGGCATGAGTCACCAATGTCTGGCAGAAACTGACTTTATGGCTCTACTATTCTATCTTCTAAGGCTCCCTAATTTTTTCTCATCAGTTTAAAGAGTTCATTGATGATCCTATCACATTCTGAACTCTGCCCCAAAGCAGAGAAAAGTGGTTTTTATACTTTCCTAAAATGACCGATTTGGTTGCTGAAAGACTTAAACACCATGTTCCCCCTAAAAACAAAACCATCTAAGTTGATATCGAAGTGCAAATTGCTAAGCACAATTCTGAGGGTAGACGAGGTGGGGGAGGGGGTGTGTGTGATTCATGAGTAATTGGCAAGTCTGTTGGACTCTGAGCATGAGACAGTAGTGCCCTAGAGTGTCGGCGTGAGTATAATTAATCATCTGAACACCGCTCCTTTTCTCATTCTGCCTGTGTTTTTGGCATTTTAAATTGCTGCTTTCTCTTTGGCAACTGTATTTCTATTTAAAAGAAAAAAAGAAAAAGTGGGTGTTCAGAGTCACTTCAGTAAACCTGAGACATGCTTTGCTTCCCTCCCAGCCCTCCATTCCTTTCCCAGGGTCTATGCTTGCTTTTAAAAACAAGCAAACGAACAACTTTTCAACAGCCTGAGAAGGATGGCTCAGTAAGGAGATGTTTGCCTAGCATGTATGAGAGAAGACCCCTGGGTTCCATCCATAGCAAGAAAATAACAACAACAACAACAACAACAATAATAATTTCTCAGCAGGGGCAGGATCCTAGAGTTTCAACTGAAAACAAGGTCTTACATGTGACGCCCTCTTCAAAGGCCCGTCCCCAGTGACCTTCTTCCTTTGACCAGTCTCCACTTTAGTGTCCACCCACCTCACAGTAATGTGATCAGATTTATTACTCAACTCAGTGGATTCAACCGATCTGTTTAGATCAAAGTCCTCATGGTCCACTCGCCTCTCAATAGCGCCACCATCTGGGGACACTTCCTATTCAAACCACAACACCATTTAACCTAAATCTATAAACCTGAGTGTATGTATGTGTGTGTGTCTACCTACTAATTCCAGATTTAGAAGACTTAGAACTTCCTCCAATATGTTATGAGTGTTTTGTTTTTTGTTTGCTTTTTGTCGGTCATGAGGCTTGAACTCTGGGCCTGAGTGCTGTCCCTGAGATCTTTAGCTCAAGGCAAGCACTCTATCTACCACTTGAGCCACAGCGCCACGTCGGCCACTTCTGCTTTTCTGGTAGTTAATTGGAGATAAAAGGCTCATGAACTTTCCTGCCTGGCCTGGCTTTGAACCACAATCCTCAGATCTCAGCCTCCTGAGTAGCTAGGATTACAGGTGTGAGCCGGCGCCTTGCTTTTGTTTTTCAATTACGTGATTGGCTTGTAATCATCTCAGACTGGAGCACGCTCTTCTGATTAGTTTTGACCCTTAACTCCCATGGCCTCTCTCTTCTTGGATGCCCTTAAAAAGAATGTTGCCTTAGCAACCTTCAGCACTGCTTCTTCTGAACTTCTGTTTGTATGAGTGCCACCTAAAGTCTTGGTCCTTTCAGTCATGAATTCACTCAAGATTATCAACTCAGTGTGTCTTTATTTGCCCACATATCAAGCTCTGTTTTAATAAACATTTATACATCCTAGAGAATGTGGTAGAAAAGCACAATGCTAAAGAGAAGCTTGCACCTCTATTTCCAGTCTTGTGAGATGTTGGGGGCCCTTTTAACAGACTTAGGAAGTCAGATGGAGGTTTTTGTTTGCTTCTGAGCTCCTAGACAGAATTGTGCACCAGAAACCAAAAAGTTGCACAGGATGAAGCCAATGCTGTGAAACCTAAACACACTACATAATTTGAAACTAAACCCTCGTGTTCATTGCGTTGGATAATATCAGGTTTACTTTTCCCCTACTGCGCTTCCTGAATTAGAATCTCTCATTATTCACATTTGATGCCTTTCTTCTTTGTATGTGGAACAACAGGAAAGTCTAATTTTAAAATGATTCATTTTAAAGGCTAACATTTTAAACTTTTGATGTTTCTCTTTCAAGTTTCGAATCCTAAAGTCTTAAGACGTACGGAGTATACTAAGTTGGGGGAAAGACAATTCTGTCAGTATAGCTGAAATATCAAAGCTATAGAATGAAAAAATACTTATTTGTGCTTAGTACCTTGATAGTACTCAAAGCATGGGTGCTTTGCTCAAAGCTAGCACTCTACCACTTGAGCCACAACTCTGTTTCCATCTTTTTGCTAGTTAATTGGAGATAAGAGTTTCATGGATTTAGACAAATCCATGCCCAGGCTAGGTTTATTCCAGGTTTCAGCCTCCTGAATAGCTAGGATTGCAGGCAGGAGCCACTGGCAGCTGGCTGGAGGGGTTTTTTCAGATGTAGATCTCCCAGTAGTTAGCACCTAAGCAGATCTTTAAACAACTTGTAGGGGAGGGAGAAAGAGGGCAAGACAGGAGATCTACCATGGTGGCTGACATGTAGAAGATGTATAAGGGTTACCCATAGCGAGGGACAAGTAGAGAACCTGGAAACAGAGCTGAAGACTTCAAGTCCCTCGTGCAGCCAACAGACAGCCCTGGAATTTTATGGAGGGGAAAAGCAGTGTCATGAAAGTCTGTTTTCTGAAGATAACGGTAGGGTTCTACGTAGAGTATATAAAAAGGAGATATGGAAATGAGGAAGCTTGAGCCAGGACGCTCATCACTGACACCCTAAAGCAGGGAGCAGCTTCACAAGGGTTCGAGGATATAAATGACCCGTTGGGGGGCTGAAGACCCACTGGAGCAAAAGATAGGATCCAAAGAGGTTCTGGGCCAGAGCCACTGAGTGATGGAGTGAAGTGGGAGGCGGGGGGAATGCATTTGAGCTCTGGCCCCCTAGGTGACTGTGAGATGTCCATGCCCACCTGGGCAGCCTAGGGAAATCTCTGGATAGGATCAGGAGCAGAGGCCTGGCTCTGGAAGGGATGGGCACTGACTTGGTTGTAGGGAATCCTCTGTGATCTCAGCTCCTGAGAGTCATCACCAGATAGTGTCATTGTCTTATGTGTATTTGCTCCTAGCACTGTGTACTTCAGTCCCTTATCATTGCTTATGTTTCTTAATTTGAATCTCTTCCTTCCTTCCTTCC